ATCAATGCATATTAATGTTTTAATTCATTGTAGTACATCAGAAATATAAAAATCGAAAGAAAATTAAATAAGATTTAACAGCACTAAATTTTCCTGATGTAACAAAAAATAGAACAAACAGAATTTGAAAACTACATATTTTTCGATATTTTGCTTCCATATTTAAATTTTGAAAAGTAAATGGTCATGTAACCATGAGCTTCAAGCACAGGGTAGTACTGTGTCATGAGAATAACTTGATGATTATTGCAGATATTAACATTAGCTCTAACTGTGTCTTGTGAATAAAAATTTAAGTTATGCTGTGTTTCGGAATGGTTTACCGTACTCTTCTGTAATTTAAATTCTACCGCAAAATACACTTCATAGCATAAAAAAGCGACGCACCAAGAAAGAATGTGATGAAACGTGACGAAAGTCGGTAGATGTGATGTACATGTATTGAGAATGAAATTCTGATAATAATATTATAGGTATTGACTGTTTTATTCAGGAAATACAGGTACAAGAGGAACAAATACCAGTAATGCGTTGGCCCACGTCTGGCTCTGATTCCAGCTGTTATCCTCCTGGGCATTAACTAGTAGATTTGGCAGATGTTCGCCTGCAAGATTACTTGTCATGTGCGTTCAAACTGGCGAGTTAGATATGCACGATCCAAGAACGGTCAGAGACGCCTGCTCATCGGAGCCCAAAAGCGCTCTATTGGAAAAGATCTGGCAGTATCTCAATGCAGGTAAGTGTTGCAGAAGCACGAAAACAAACAGTAGAAAGGCATGGCATGTTCAACCAGGGACGTGTGCTTGCTGTTGAAATTTGAAAGGAAGGGCAACACTATAGGGCATAGAATCTCGTCCACATACCGCCGTGCAGTAAAGTGTCACGGATGGCAACTAAAGATGGTCCAAATGAAATGGTACCGCACACCATAACTCCTGGTTCTCAGGCTTCGTGGCAGACGGCAGTCAGAAGAGTAACCCAGCGCTGTCTTGGACGTTCCCATCCATACACGCCTTTCCTGGTCATCGAGGCTCAGTTCGAAACGGGACTCATCATTGAAAACAATTCTACTTCAGTCCGTGACATTGCATACCGAATGCTTGCGGCGCCACTGCAGAGGTGTCTAACGATGTTCATTGAAGAGGCAGTCGGTGCAATGACCTCCGTGACCTCATATCCTATTTGCTGAGTCGGCTATCAATGGTCACAGTCACTGGTGTCCCAATTACATGTCGGATCGTTGATAAGAACACATTAGACGCTGTGAGCTTCGAACGGACGACACTCTGTCCTCGCTCTCAGTCGACCGCTGTCTTCTTGATGCTTTGTATGGTTATAGGTCACCCCTCCTTGGCAACGTCTAATGATAGCATCGCTCCGACCCAAATACGAGCTAAACCCCTCGCATCTAGCGATCCTGCGAGAAGATCATATTGCTTTTTAGTCCAATTGCACATTTTCTCTCAATACTGACATCTGCTAATACTATTTGCGAACCCACCTGCGAGGCATTGGTACCCTCCGCGTGGTTCGACGGAACTACATTCGCATGGAATGCCTCAGCATTGGAATATCCCCTGTTTTATACACCATCTGCAGATGCTCAGTTGCAACACGCTGAAGCTCCAGCTAATCAGTCATTAGCTGCAAAAAGTTAATCGTTTTCATATTCTATCGTAAAGCATGGGCATACGCTATTTCGTCTCATTCGGATAATTTCTTGTTGGTGCATCGCGTTTTTAGGTTATAAAGTGTATTTTATATAATATCAATCAGCAGACCGTCAGTTTGAGAATGATATGTGAATGAACAGTTATCAATATGTTGATCCTAGCTTTATATTTTGTTCAGCATTTGTTTAGCATTTGGGATCGCAACGCCAGAAGAAGATATTTTTTAGATCATCTTTGCGCCTTTAATGTAATATTAGCAACAGGCAAACGGTTAACGTAAAATAATTTTTGAAACATTTGGAGGAGGTTTTAACCCACTGTCGCGAGCCCAGCTGACCGTATAACCCGCTTTTTAACACGTCGCTGTGTATCACAGTTTCGGAAGGTCTAGTTCTTGGTTCTTACGTAAAAAAAGTAGACTATAAACAGAATTTGATGTAAGCCTCACAAAAAAAAAAAAAAAAAAAAAAAAAAAAAAATCCTCCTTCGCTGTGTATCATAACTTCTACAGGTCTTGAGTCTGAACCGACCTTATGCGGGCAAACAGAATATTAAAATACTTTGATGTAGGTCCACAAGGGAAAAAAATCACACAGACTTAAATAGGTAGTCTCTGTGGCCAATTTAGTAAACCCATCATTTTCTCCAACCTATGGGAATTAACGATTATACGGCTTTTACGTCATCTTGGACGAAGCCAAATATTTTTTTACATTTTTTCATTTCAAATATTTTGACTATGATATTCATGTGTTATCCTTTATACAATAAATTATTAAAAGTTTTCACATGATTTGGGAACATTTTGGTTTAACTTATACTACGTTTGTTCTGGCTTCCATTAATTAATGCTTTCCATTCAAATCTAAGATATGCAAGATGATATTATTAATCCAGTGTATTTTATCGATTATGTCAAAAACATACATATAAGGGTGGAAGAAACCTTCATGTAAGATACAATAAACGCAGAGATAATAATACCATTTGCGAATTACATCTCTTAAGATTAGTTAATTACAGTTGCATTTTCGCTTTTCGATAACCCTTCTTCTCGGTGAAAAACAGCAAACATTTCAAAAACCGAAAAAAAGAAATGAATTACACTCTAGAGAAAAGACGATGATCACTGCATCCTAAAAATCCACGAAAATATCGAATAGCAGTATAGGATTTGAGCGCATATACTTCTTTTAAACGGCGAGCGCACGAAAATGAGATTTTATTTATCGATCTGTCCATTTATCCCTTCTTTTTTTTTTTTTTTTTTTACCCTGATCTCCGCCAGTGGTTTGAGCCGCCGTAATTAGTGAATTGGCAGAACTAGCCAAATGCGACGCTTTGGGAGAAAAAGAGGAAGAACAAGAAATAAACAAACAGAATAAAGAAGAGGGCTGTATAAAGATAAAAGTTACCTAAATGACAAGGAATTAGAGATAGCAGATTCCTCTAGCAGCCCGCTCATTTCATCCAATAAATTGGTGGTCTTAGCCGCGAAGATTACTGCAGAGCTCATCTCGCAAAGTATCGCCTTTAACGTCTACCCAGAGACCCCCACGTGCACATAAATACTGTCAGATTTTGTTTTCCCTGTTCCCCGATTAAAAAAGAACCATTTCGTGTGCAGAAAGATTTATAAGAGATTACATCGATGGTTAATGTTTCAAAGGTAGGAGAGAGTGATGCGAAGAAAAATACTTTAAAGGAAAAGTACTTGTAAAAATTGTTCGTTTTATCCTCGAACTGCATAATCAAGCGTTGTAAATGAACCTGAACTTTGCCTGTCAATGATGGTTGCACGAAACTACTCGATAAGAAGTTCGAAGGTAATAGCTTGTGATCAATTTCAAAGCCTGTATTTAAGTATTCGGCGTTTAAATTGCAGACAAAGGAAATCATGGAAATGACTAACTGGCGGTAACTAACTACTAAGTTTTGATAACTGTTAAAACTTTATCATTCAACTGAAATGACTTTGAGGCAAGTTGTCATCCTTAACAACTTAATGATAAAGTCTTCCTGCTTTTGAAAACTTACTGATAAAGCACATTCTTTTCGGTCACCAAATTAGTCGACTTGAAATAGGAACGGCCAAAGTCGACGGAAGTTTAAAAAATCATACTAGAGAAGTCATGACTGGATCAGTAATTTTTAGTATGTTTAAAAAATAATGGAAATTACTAAACCAGCTAAAATAAAATCAAGGCCCATTACACCACGATTCGATATATCAGGGTTTCGGATGTATCACAGCCACCATTATTTGCTCCGATACATTTAGAACATTATTTCTGTAGAACAGGTTTTTTAAAATTTCAGAATTCAGTTCGGCTTAGAACTTCTTTTACTTAAGAACTGTCAACAAATACCTTCACATATTACATATGGTTTTGATTAAGCAGTATATGTTGAAGAAACGATTGCAGCAGTTTCGGGCGACAAAAACTGAGTGACATTTTTATTTCTAAAAGGTAAACAAAATTTGTGTAAATTTTATTTAGATGGCATGCTCTCCATTGTGGCAGAGTAGCATAGCATATAACAGATTTAATGGCCAATAGCTAGCTACCTATAAAGTTCTAGTCAATTTACGTGTCTTTGGCTACTAGAACTTTTATGGGAGTGTCAAGCGACTATTTGCTGATCTCCTTACAACTGCAAAATATAAGGCCAAAGAAAGGTTAAAATACCCTTTTATTCACTTAAGGAAATAATAACAGTAGGCCTCTTCGCACGCTTACAGGAAAGCCTCCGCTCGGGCTTTAACTTAAGATGGAAAATAAGAACCTAAACTAATTTTAACTAGCTATAAACTTTAGAGTAAGCTGTACAAAGATAATTAACCGAGTTGGCGCGTAATTAAACCTCACCGGCGAATACTAATGGACACGTAAGACAACGGCCGTTCTAAGTAAGATAAGCTTAAAGTAACGACTTGGCGCGAAGGCAGAACTCGCTCTAAGAACTTGTGAACTTCTTCCTTAAATACTGGTTTTATACATTTACATTAAACGCGATACTGAAATCTCATTCTGAAAGGGAGTTTAAGAATTAATCAATCTAAGAATAATCTTAAAGAAATTAATCAATTTATTGACGCAGTTTTCATTGCTTCCTATTCTAAATTTTTAATTTATGTGAAATTTACCATTTTTTACATACTGCATAAAAACAGTTGTTTATTGTGCTAATATAATCATTTTTTTATAATTTTATGTAAACTAAATGTAAAGAAAGAAAAACGTGCGTAAACTATTGATTATGCATTTACATTTCTTCTGCTACTGACTGGAGATCGATTGGCGAAGTAAAGAAAATGTACATTACTTTTTAAGGCCTGAACTCTTTCTCACTTCCAGTGACAGGGTCCAGGGAATTTTTACGGGTGTCTAGCAATTCAGTCCTTGTCTTTTCACTTAAAAATAAACAAGAAAATTTTCATAATTCTAAATAAGCTAAATTTAAGATAAATATATCCAACAACAATCTGAATTTCATGCAGAACGTTTCAACATAATGCTCTAGCTTGTATGTTTACTCGCAGGGCAAGGTTTCCTCAAAGCTATTACCTCATTCTACAGTAAATTTAAGAAGAGAAATAAAATTAATGCATTTCAAAGATTTTATTCGCGTAACCAACTTCTATATATTTTTCCTTCTAATAATGCCATTCATGGTATAATTCCTAAAAACATACATTGGTTTTAATTCTTTTAGCAGGTGTGATTTAATACACCGCCATTTGGAAATAACTTATAATTTGTTCAACTACCCAATTACGTCAGTAAGTGTTACATTCGAAATCCCTGTATTATGCTCACTTTGATAATTACTTTACTTTGATAGTTTTTCTGTTCGATTAGACGCCGCAAGCAGCGGAGACTGATTTACCACCATGAACTGTCAACTAAGTCCCACTTGAATACTGAGTGGTTACCTATGGCGCTGTTACCTCCTACAGTGTTTCAGTATAACTTGTGTATTTAGGAAAAGGACCTAACTATTTTGCAGCAATTACCCATGCCATGAAAATCATATGAAAATTTAAACTCTTGAAATAGCCGTCAAATTTAAACAGAAAGAAAGAGAGAGAGAAGTCTTTAATATGATAAAAACTATGCATCTGCAACACGAATGAGAATCCTCGTGCACCGTATAAAAACTTCACAACACAGTATGAATATGAATAATGTCATGTTCAAATGCTTTATGCTCATCTTTATTCAAAATGCACCGCTTTCGCCGGGAATCGAACCAGGGGCCTCTGGAATACGCGCCCAGCGTGCAGACCACCACACCACGAAGGCATGCCAAGAAGGCGGAGAAATACCTTATAAGGCAACTAGAAATTTTTAACTTTTCTATATTAACTATAATAAAGACAGGCCCTCTTTCATAAAATTTACAAACTCATTGCATTATTCATGATAAAATTCCTGGAAACATTTTATAAAAGCCTCTGGCAGTTACTAGAAGCTTAAATGTTGCAATAAAAAGCATAAATTATTGAAAAACGAATTCTTCCATTTCACACTTTATATTCAGTATCATGTGATAATACAAAGCTCTGTATAAACTCAGCTGCTATTTGATACAGAAAAACGGGAGTAAAATATTACCTTTTACCGTTTAAACGGAAGAAACTGAAACCTTGTTTCAAAATACATACTCTAGCACAGTAATTTTTAAACTTGAAAAGCATTTTGAAAATAAATAAAGTCAATTTTCCATAGATAGAGAATAGTTTTCAGTTTTTCTAGAGCAGTAAACTAGGTTCATTGAAAAACTTGCTATCATTAAAATAATGGGTATAATATTTTCGTAACATGTAAACACTTGCTGTTTTATGAAAACAGAAATTGCTATAGTTTAGAAACATAAGTAAATTGTATTCCTATTATTATAAAATATTTGAATGCTTATCTAATATTTCTCCTCATATATTGCTGGAGGCTAAAATTTCAAGACCTAGAAATGGATTGTTGAAGATAAATTTTTAAAACTAAATATTTATGGCTTTGCAACCTTTAAAATACAAAACGTTTGAAAACGGCAAGTGATAAAGAAATATGGGAAACCTCCAAATTCATGATCATAATATAAATTTTAAGGTTAAAACTAGCTACTTATCAACTATAATTTATTTAACTTTGCTGTGCTAAGAGTAAATTCTTATTTTCCCACTCACTTAAAATTCTAAATTCAAAGAACAGAAACAAGATATAAAACGTAATTAAAAAGTTTATTAACATTACTAATCATGCTTTGTATCTTATCAGTGATCCGTCCATTATATATCCAGTTAAAAAATGAAGCAAACTGAGCAACAGTCCTACAACTGAAGTGAGGAGCTAAAATATGTGATACAGTCTTGTCTTTTCATAAAAAAATTACGAATTTAAGTGCTCTTCTCGAATGAGACATCCTGCGCGTCGACTCAAGAATCATTCCTAACAGCAATCTCGTCCGCATCTTACCAACAGCATTGACCGACGGCTCAAAGATCAGTGGAAAGGCGGGCTCTGCCTATGCGACTTTTATGCCCAACGTAAGAACAGGCCACATGGAAGTGTTTCTTTATAGCTCGAGAACAGCGCATTCGAAGCTCAAATATCGACAATTAAATACGAAATTATTTATGCAGCAACTCACGAATTTCCTTCCCACACTAGCGATCAAATGCAACAGTCTTTCAAATATGCTAATCAAGCCAAACAAATATTTTATCTTATGCTTTACGCATTTTCCAACATGATGCTATCTTCCCCAATAGTTAAAGATATTTTCCAATAATCTACTACAGCCCTCAACTTTATATTACAGCTGCTTTGCTCATACAGGCGTCTCTAGTTATGAATACACAAATCAATTCGTAAAAGAAGCAACCCAGAATATCAGTAACATGATCATACACATAAAATGGCCAGGATCATACCTTACCAATCAAACGATAAATATTGGGGAAAAAAGACCAACTTGTTTGGAATAATATCTCTCAATGCAGAAGACATCATAAATTTTTGGCTGCAAGTAAAATGCGATAGGGAGAGTACAAATTTCTTTCTAAATCAGTACTTGACTGGGCACGGACAACAGCATATACAGGGAAAGAGGGATTCTGATCATTATATTTTGAAATTTCCGTTAATGGTTACACATCACAGCAAGTTCCCAGCGATAGATTCGTTACTTTCAAGAGGTCTGAAGAGGTGGTAGAAGCCAAGCAGATGAAATGCAAAATAATTAAAATAATAATTCTTCTCCAGTACTACGGTACTGAACTGTATCACCCATAGATATCATTCTGTAACAGCTTTAAATAGTATTAAAATTTTGTAGTTTAAATAATTTAAATAGATGAACATTTAGGTATTTGTGTATGGCAATATTTGAAACCAGACTCAACTGCCACGTGCGACTCTCGCACGAAGAATGTAAATTATTTTTAAATGTTAGGATATGTTTTCTTTTCTTGTTTGTATGTCGCCATTTTTTTGAGTGTTAAATAAAAGTTATTGCTGTGTTCCATCATTGGATTTGCTTCATTTCGCCAAAGAAGTATTACAATTCAAACAGCTTAGCATTCCTTATTTAACATAATACTTGGTATCATAATAGCAACTTTGTAAAATAAACAATAAATGTAATAATAATTGCAAATACTGCTGAGATGGAGAAATTTTCATAAGATAAAAAGGCACATCAAACGAATACTCATTATCAAATTCCAGTTTCGAAAGTGCACTTTCTCGTTTCAGATTTAGGATTCATAGTTATATAAACATATTGAATAGTAAGAATCCAACAATATGCACTGCAATACAGTAAGTCCGTAAGAGAATTAAGACATTTCACTGCATTTAAGGAATTTCGAACAATCACCGCGTCAGAAAATGGTCTATCCACGTATGGATATCAAATATTTTATGTTTATACCTAATGTTTACCCAGAAACAATGAAATAAAAACCATTGAATAACAAGTCTGGAGCAGTACATCCAAGTATTAGTGGAAATGGAAATAACATCATGAAAACATTACGTTATTTTGTAAGTTCAACAAAGGAAGAGTTTATGTGAATGAAGTCATAAAGGTCACATCACATATGCAAACGTGGCCATGAAAATGAAAAAACATCTTACGCCATTGAATCCTAAATATATCTTTGGTGACGTTACAAGTTTAAATGCATTAACATTAATATATTCAATGCAAGTGCACCAGGAATAGTACAATTTTGTCTTTGCGGAGTGTAAGCTCATCTAAAGTGTGAAGCGTACATCACTAGACGATTCGAAGTAATGTGTACTAGGTTCTAAAAACGTCAGATTTGGAACCCTATCAAGCGTAAAATTTATAGCGACATCTTCGATGATGCTAAAAGCTCCACCTTCTTATTATGACGCCGCTTCTCTCACCTAAAGTCTTCAGTGAACTACAGAAATTCTCATTATTACTTTACCGGACTCTCAGTCAAATTTACGGCAAGTTGCGATATTCAAATTAATAACAGTATTACTCAAAAGCTGCGGAAACAATACAGCGGAATGGAGTGATTCATTTTACGAATTTTAGAAGTTAGTTTAAATTTCTTCTTATTTTTGCCTCTGAATGATTTGTGGAAAGATTTCGTTAATAGAATTGGCAGAGGTTTTAAGCAGCGTATTTACTTAAATTGCCATAAAATAAAAATTATCAACGCATTTTCCTTTGAGTAAACATATTTGAATATTAACTTAAATAACTAGTTGTTTAATACGTATATGTAAATTCTTAAATATTGCAAAATTATGCCGAAATTAGATGAATATAAATATGAAAATGAATAAATTTTTATAGCGCAAAATTTAAGAACAAGACATTTTAAAGTAAGACAAGAACTTTAATATGTAAAACACCGCTTACAGACCATTTCGTAGCTCAAGATGTAAGCAGTATTTCCTTTTTCAGAAGCATAAGATTGTTTCTGGGATTTACCAGAAGTCTATTCACCATTGCTTAATATTAAAATAATTTAAGAAAAATGTATGTTTCATTCCAAAGATTCCTCAAAGTAAAGTAAAATTTTTATTAATTTCGTTTACTATTATGTACATCAGGAAAAGCTTTATATATATATATATTTATTTATATTGCTGTGACAAAGGATTCTGTCTTAACTCGTGCAACAAATAATAAATATATTAAAAATATTTTAGTTTCGTTGTCCCTATCATTTCTAAAACAATCCTTGCATATATCTTTTCACTTTCCACAGCGATCTTTGGAAACATCTTTGTAAAAGCCAGTGCAAGGTATCTTTCATTTCAGTTCGATTAACCCTCGCTCAGATAATTAATATTAGTCAACTGAACAAAAGCATACATTGGCTTCATTTTATCGTAAAACACACTTACAGATTTTGACAACATAGAA